ATCCTACCTGCTGTTCTATGGTGATTTCTATTTGAGAAATTGAACATTAGAGTTTTTAATGCAAACTATAAGCACCTGTGTGTCACCAATTGAGAAGATTAGCCCTGAGATGCTGTGGTATTTGTCATCAGTTCTAACATTTTAGCACCCAGGAGATCATTAACTTCTGGCCGAAATGTTTATGGTTCAGGAGAGCTGTTCTTCCAGGAGCTGAAGTCAGAGGCAATAGGGGTGGGGGCCTGTAATGATTCAGAAACTGGGTGTGGTGTTTGAATCTCACATTTACCATTTGCTTCAACTGTTGTTTGGCCAAGTTTCTTTGCCAACAAAACATAGTTTAGACTACCTACTACTTAGGATGGTTATTTGTATCAAATAATTCTTGCTTAAATTTATGCATAAGTGGTGAAATGAAAATCCCACTGTGTATAGTATTCCACTGGGTCCACATCTATACTTCCCCTTTATCTTTCTTTCTCCTTTATATTTATCTATTTTCTTAAGAGGTTTTTGCCTTAGGGCATATGAGTTCACCAGAGAGAGAGAGACAGAGAGAGAGAGACAGAGAGAGAGATAATGAGAGGGAAAGTGAGAAATCACTCCCCAGGGGATGGCTATGTTGCAATCCCTATTCCTCCATCTCCTCTTGGGATCTTCGGTATGCATGCACATGCACCTGGTGTGATTTATCAAGCCACTAGTTCAGGACTCAAACCATGGTTGACCATGTTGGAGTCCAGGGATGTAACTACTTTGCCATCTACTGGTAGTTTTCCTTTATATTTAATAAGTGAATTATTTTCATTACTATTTATTTTTTAAGAAATGTAACAATTTCAGTTTATATTCCCCTTTGACTCAAGAGATTTTTTTTTAAACCATAGTGTGCACATTATATTCCCCTTTGACTCAAGAGATTTTTTTTAAACCATAGTGTGCATACGCTCACCAGAAAGAGAGACAGAGAAGGGAAAATGAGAAATCATCCCCCTGGGGGATGGCCATGCTGCAATCCCTTCTCCTCCATTCTCCTCTAGGAATTTTGGGCATGCATGCACACATATCTGGTATGATTCTCATGCTGCTAGGTCTAGGATTCAAACTATGGTTGGTCATATGGGAGTTCAGTGCTTTAATCATTATTCCACTTGCTGGCCACACTCAAGAGTTATTTTATACAGAGCTTTTAAAAACCCATGACACTCTTTTGTAGTTTGGTTTTCTTACTGATTTTCTAGTTATGCCTCATCAAAGGATATTATCTGTATTACTTCTATGTTATGAACTTAATTACATTTTCTTATGACCTAAATTATGATTAATTTCGTGAATGTTCTAGGTGGATTTGAAAAGAAAGTATACTCTCTATTATCAGAGCACAAAGTTTGTGATGTGTCCAGATTTACCTTATTAATGAGGTTTTTCCTTATTTATCTTTTGTCTTCCACTTGGCCTATCTTGGACTGAGAGTGGTATGTGTTAAATTATCTGATATGAAGAGGTTTCTGTCTATTTCTTCTTCCATCTGCTGCAATTTCTGCTATAAAAGTTGCTGTTGTGTTATTGGTATGCATTTGTTACTATTGAATGTGAATTCTGGCCTTCAGCATAAATAAGACTTTCCTTGTTATATTTTACACCTTCCTGCCAGCATCTTACCTTGTCATATAGATCAAGAACAAAATTGATGCTGTTTGCTGTTCTTAGCTTGCATTTGCCTTGTATGCTTTTGTCCATCCCTGGATTTTTCACTTTTAAAATCACTTTGTCTTAAGTGTGTCTCTTATATTCAGTAGAGTTGGGTTTTTCACATCCCACATTTTTGCTTAAGGCATGAATACTCGGCCCAGCATATAATTGGAGTTTCATAAAATATTTGCTTCCTTTTTCCTGTCTTCATTTATTCAGTCAGGAGTAATATTCACCTAGGTCTCTAATGTCTTTGTGGGCAGCAGTTTTGGAATTGTCTGGCCTTGAAGACCCCTCCTGTGCCATCTGGCTTAACTGGATTCTCTATTTCAATTCTCCTCTGCTAGTTCTCAGGCCCTAGAAGCACAGGTTTTTCTTTCCTTCCAACATGGGAGACTACCCACAATCCTCAATGATGAACTTGAAGAGCACCATTGGGAGTTTAAAAACACATTCTCTCCTATTGCCTTGACATATAGACTTGTGTTCCAATATTTAGATTAAGGTTTGATATGTCCCAAGATTTTATTTAAAAATTTAATTAAATAACCTGGAAGTAACAGTTATAGCCATAAATCAACTGCTGGAAAGAACCCTAGAAATGATGTACTCAAATTTTCTCCCCAGTGTATTTTCTATGATACCGCAGTATGTTTTCCCAATCTCTGTTTGCATTTTTCTGGAAATGTAAACTGGCATTGTCACCCATTCTATAGGCCTGAATTTGAAGCTCAGCCAACCATTTAATAACTATGTGACACTGGGAACTGAGACAAGCACTCTTAATCTCACTTTTTCATCTGTAGCATGGGTACAATGATAGAAACTCAGAGGACTGTTAAAGGACTAAGAAGGGTCACAGATTCAAAGATTAGGGAGGTAATGTAGAGGATTAGACAGGTAACAAATGGAATCCTCTTAGTGTAAGGAAATAGGAGTGATGAGGAGAGTTTATTCCCTTGTCAAGGGAAGATACCTCAGCTGGCCTCCTGTAGATTGGAGCTCTGCCTGCAGCAAAGAGGGCCCAATATTGTTACCAGTTCTAATTTTTCTAGAAAAGCAGAAATATGACTTTTCTTTATGTGAAATTTTCCAATGATTAAATATAAAAGCTTTACAAAATCAATTTAATATACTAGGTAGGCCATTAAAACACCTATTTGATAGGACCAGCAGATGGTGTAATGGTTATATTGCTGGACTCTCATGTAGTTGATCATAGTTTGAGTCTTGCATTCGGCAGTTTGAAACTCATATGAGGCACGTGTGCGTGCGTGCCCAAGATCTCAAGAGGAGAATGGAGGAGAAGGGATTGCAGCGTGTCCTTCCCTCCTGGAGGATGATTTCTTGCTTTCTGTCTCTTTGTCTCTGTCTATCTCTCTGTCAAGTGCACAGGCCCTATAGCAAAAATCTCCCTAAACAAACAAATAAACAATAAAACACCTTATTTGACTGCTGGGTATACTTGTAGGTTGCCAGTTTGCATCTCTGTTCTTACTTTGCATTATACTTAGCGCAAGAGAGGCATTCAATAAATTCATCACATCTGAAACCATTGACTTCAAAATTTTGGGAAAAAGGACTGGTTTGATTGGGTGGGGGAAGGAAAGGGGAAGGTCAGAATAATTAGGACATTGACTGCTCAGCTCAGGAAATCAGCAAAAATTGTGGGAGAACAAAACAAAACATGAACACTGCCTCCTTCCTCGTGTGTCTGCTCTTACTTCATTTGCTGATACTTGTGGGCTCTCTTGTACAATTGCTGGATTCTTATGCAGGCACAACTAACAGGAAGGATGAGGGGAGCAGGGTACGGAGATACTACAGCCTTTGAAGCTGTAAAGACTTTAGCAGCTTCTTTAGAGTGAACTTATGGGGATGAGAACAAAAAGACACTGTGCTGGGAACCAACTTTTCCCCTATCCTCATCCTCTAGGCTTTTCTCTATCAGCAACTCTGAAACTAGCCAAATACTTCCTATTTGGGTGGGTTGCAGCTGTCCTACACATGTTATAAATAGGGACCAGTAGAGCTGTTCTTATTTTTAGCACTTTGATGTGGATGTAAAGGTCACCAAGATTCCCTGTTCGGTTGCTCAATTAATTGGCTTTTAAAGAGATACAAATCTCTTCCTTTTCTCCAAAATGTATGTTTTCTATTCATATACATTAAAATAAGACATTGAGGGGAAGGGGAAGTAGTTTCTTCTTGGCTATATTCCTTCTAGTTGCCATGGATTGGGTGATATATCTGTTCTGTAGCATACAAAGTCATGTATGGATTTTGGAAAACAGAACTTCAAGCTTGGACCAAAGCCACTCCTTTTTTTCTCTTGAGCATAAAGAAATGTTTAGAGTACAAAATAACTTTAAGGCTTCTCTTATCTAACCCTCCAAAGTACAATGCTGAGGGAACTAAGGACCAGAGAAGAAAATGTACTTATTATTATTTAAATTGCCAGATGTTATGTGCACTCTCCAGAGAGAAAGAGATAGAGAGACAGAGCACCCTTCATACCCCCATAAATCACAATTTAATAAGCAGATAAAATGGGGTGTAGTCATGCTACAATCCTTTTTCTTCCATTTCTTCAACCTACTGAGAATTTGTGCACACACGCACACATACCTGACGTGTTTTTCAAGCCACTAGGAACAGGATTTCAAATGTAGTCAGCCATATGGGATCTAGATCTCTAAAATACTCAGCAAAGGGGCCAGCCCTGATTTACTTATTATTAATAATAAATATTATTATAGCTTACATTCATGGATGTTTTTCCTGTGCTGAACATTTCACATGAGTTCCCTCATTTAATCCTCACAACCCTATAAGGTATCCATTTCTGTTATTCCCAAAGTTGAGATTTGGTTGTTGGTAAATTGGCAATGGTAGATCCAGAAAAGCCACTCAGGATCCCTATTCCAGTTCTTCAACTCTTTCCAGACCCAGTGCTCAGCACACAGATTCCTCACAAGGATAAAAAAAAGGGAAGAAGAAGGATGGAAGAAGAGAGGGAGGGAGGCCTGGCTTGATTCTTCAACTCTTTCCAGACCTAGTGCTCAGCACACAGATTCCTCACAAGGATAAAAAAAAGGGAAGAAGGATGGAAGAAGAGAGGGAGGGAGGGCTGGCTTGAGCACACACAGGTACACAGACACACACACACTTCCTCAGCATAGGCCTTTCATATTATTCTTCCGAAAGTATGGAGTGTTTCCAGAACCCATACAAAAAGCCTGGCTAATGCTCCCTTTAACCTTGAAGGCCTAGGAACTATTGCAATACAGAGGTGTTTCAGCTGTCTTTACCTGTTCTCAGGGTCAGCCAAGGCCATACTTCGAGTGACGTAGCACATTTTCAGGGGAATGCTTTTCCGGTCTCTATGGAAGGAGAAGGACTGCGATGACGGAGGATCTGAGGAGCCACCCCCTAAACGAGGGGATTCAGGTGGAGGTGTTTCCCATCCAATCTCAGACACTGGGGATCCTTTCTTCACATAGGGTGTGGCCTCTCGCATGTACTTCACTGCAAACAAAAAGACAACAATAAGGTCTTTTAAGTACATCAGGGCTGAATTTCTGGAAAGTCTGACAGTATTTTTGAAAAAAAAAAAGTAACTTGTGGTGGACAGGCTCTTAACACTGAATTTAAATTCTGCACAAGACTCAGAGTTTCTGTTCCTCTCATTAGAATCACCCAACTATTTAAATTATACAATAATGTGGATCTTAGAACTTGGTATTATGATATCCTGTAGTTGAGAATTACTTCTAGCTTTTCAGCTGTAACCACTTCTTTCTAATCTAAGTTGTATTCTGGAAAAAGGCTAAAAAACAAATGGGCAGAGAGTGCAAAGGTGTGACTTAGGCTGAAAGATATTCAAAATAGATATAAGAAATGTGATATTCCTGCGTACTACCCATGATGCTATTTTCATGTTGGAAAGCATGGATAGGGTTTTGACTTAATACTAATAAGAACATATATACAAAAAAATACATTATAAAAACACTTTTTTCATGGCAAAAATCTGTAATAGTAAAGGCATTATGTATAAGAGTGGAAAACTAGAAACAACCCAAATGTGCACTAAGGCCAGAGGGTATTTTCTCCAGATCTTTTGATGAGTCAGTTCCACAAACTACTGCCTTCACTGTGTAAGACATGAAGCCACGTTTATGGTGATTACATAGATAAGCAATATGTGATCTCTACATTTAAGAGTTTCAAAAAAAATTTATGAGTGACTACAATGAAAGCGGTTAGCATCCCACTGGATCCCTTTTACTAAATGTTAGCTGCTGTGTGCTGGATAAAAACAACTCTTAGTTGTCCCCCTCCTCTGTGGAACTGTTCTTGGTCCAACAGAAGCTACCAGGCTTTGGAGGCTACAGAGTTGCTGCCTGACCATTCAGGTAGAAGCTTTGCTTCTAGGAAATCCTACCTAGTATCAGATATAATGCAAGTATACAAATTATGGTACATGCAAAATAAGTCAAGTTTTATGAGAATAAAGTATCTTAGATGAACCCATGGAGAAAATGGATCTAGGAGCATGAAAGACAGGTCAGGATCACAATTTAATAAGCTGATAAAACACCCCCAGTTGCATGTAATAGGAATACATATTGGAGGACTCAATTACAGATATAAAAAGCAATCATATTAGTATAGGACAGAGAAAAAGTCATTTAGTACCAATCATATTTTAAAGGTGACTTAAGAATCTTAACCGAATATAAATGCAACTACAAGGAAATAGCTCCATGGTTGCCTCAAACCTGTTAGCATAGTTAGCAATTACAGAGGGAGAAATTATTCATGCACTGAAAAATTATATGTATGGAATATTGTTTATTTCTGGGCAATGTATTAAAAGAGGAAAACAGACATACTAAAAAACAAATGCAGAAAATTTAGGGGGGCAGATTTAAGTTGCCCAAACATGGAATAAATCTTGGAAAAAACAGAAAATTTAGGGGGGCAGATTTAAGTTGCCAAAACATGGAATAAAAAAACCTCTTTCAAAGATATCTAATTATTTTTTTAATTGCTAAAACTGTTTTAGTAGGAGCTATAATATTGCTTAACTTTATATATTGTAGAAGTAGGCTTACTGATATGTGCGAAATTCAATCATCAGCTGAGATGGTTTGAAGATTTTTCTATTAAAAAAAAATTCCCAGAGTCAGAGAGGCAAGGGGTAGGCCTTCAGAAGAAGACTCCCCCATGGCTCCTGAGAACTAGTGATTTCACATGGTGCCCTCGAGTGCTACATGTTTTTTTTTTATTTTTTTGCTTTTTTTTTTAATTAATTTTTTGGATGTTTTTTCTTTTTTTTTCCTTCCTTTTTTCTCTCTTTCTTTTTATTTTCTATCTCTCTGTTTCCTTTTATTTCCTTTCATTTCTTCACTCAGCTCCTCAATCTCCATTCACTATGTTTCTAGATAGATCTAAGGGAACCATAACCAAATATTCAAATACTATTAGGGTTAACATATTCCTCAATATCCACTGAATCTGCTGCACAAAGGGATAAAAATGGAATGGTAAAGAGATTGTAGATGACCTCTTTCTACATGCTCCTGAATGCTCAGATTGAACTTCAAGAATTAGGAAGAAACACACCATCCATCAGATGACTAGAAACCACCGCAGGGCCACAAGAAATATGGGAAAGCAAGAAAATGCCCCTCCTCCAAGGGAAAAGAATAACTCTTCTTTATCCACAGATAGTTCAATAGAAATCATGGAAATATCTGATAAAGAATTTAGAATATTCATAATGATGAAGCTAACAGAAATGGAAGAGAAGAGAGACAATGAACTACAGAAGAAACAGCCTAGAAAAATCCACCACAGAGACTGAGAAAATGGCCCCCCAAAATGAGAATAATATATGAAAAATAGTAGATATCATCAAACATCCAAATGTATAATTGGTATCCCAGAAGACAAAGAGACTCATAAGGGTATTGATAATCTATTCCATGAAATCCTGCAAGAAAATGTTCCAAACCTAGAGAGGCACTCAATGATCTAGTCCAAAGAAATACAAAGGACCCCAAATAGAATCAACCCAAGAAGATCTTCTCCAAGACACATTATAGCCAGATTGACCAGAAACACAAAGATAAGATACTAAGATTGGCAAGAGAAAAACAGCAAGTTGCCTATAAAAGATATTCCATCATTCTAACAGCAGTCCTCTCATCAGAAACAATGCGAGAGAGGAAATAATGGGAAAATATATTCAAAATGTTAAGGGAAAAGCAATTTCAACCAAGAATACTGTACCCGGCAAGATTATCCTTCATATGTGAAGGAAAGACAAGAACATTCTCAGATAAAAAAACCTGAAAGAATTTACCAACACCAGATCAGATCTCCACTCTTCTGAAGGGAGTGCTATACCATTAAAATTAAATACAGACACACAAAAATAAGAGTTCAAAAACTAAGAAAATGGCCAACTTAATTGTAGGGACAAGTCTGGAGTTGAATATCTATTCCGGAATTTAATCAGGAAGATCAAACCACAGCAGAAGATAGATTAAGTACATAAGTTTGAACTGATGAAATAGTATTTTATGACTTTTGACTAAAACATTGCTGATTTTATTCTAGGCTTTGTTTTCCAGTTTTAAGGACTTTTGTCCTTTCTTGAGCTGTAGATAGGTTCATGTGCCTACTATTTGAACAGAATCCTAACCTGTTTCCTGACTTTAAGTTTTAAGCAAAGTTCCTTAGCATTTCTTTGATTTATTAACGATAGACCTGCTTTTCTTGAAATTACCACCTGAACTTGCTATTGAAAGTAGTTAGATTATTTAGGAAATTGTGTGATCAATAAAATGTGGGTGAAAAGGAATGGAAAACAACTGTAGACACCAGAGATAGTGTGGGAGGAGGGTGGGAAAGGGCAGAGGGTCAGAAATAGGGATATATATATATATATATATATAACCAGAAATGGAAAATTATTGATGATAACATACATGAGTAAACGACTATGCAGCATATTCTGGATGGGAAATCACATTTTGTATGCTATGACGATTCTTAGGGAATAAATGTAAATTAATTAATTAAAAAATTTCAGAAAAAAGGAACTCATGGAAATACGTGTATTGGGAAAACTATGTAAAATTTTCAAAAAGCTTTTTTACCAAAATAAATTCATACTTTAATTGTAAAAAAATTAAATAAGAGAAAAAAAGAAAATCATAAAAAAGGCTAAAATTAAAAAAAATGATAAGGAAAACATTGGTGAACAACAACAAAAATAATTGCCAGAGGGCATGTGAGTTTGGCAGAGATAGAGAGAAAAAGATCAGGGAGAGGGAGAAAGCATCCCTCAATGGGGCATGGTCACACCACAATTTCTTCTCTTCCACTTCTCTAAACTGTTGAATTTTTTTGCCCAGTGTGTTTTCTAAGGCTCATAGGCTGGGACTCAAGCCATGCAGTGAGCCATGTGGAATCCAGTTCTTTTTATTTTTTATTTTATTATTTTTTTTTATTTTTGGAGAGATTTTCGCTATAGGCTGTGTGCGCTCGCCAGACAGAGAGAAAGCGAGAAATCACCAGCCAGGTGGCCATTCTCCAATCCCTTCTCCTCCATTCTCCTCTCGGGATCTTGGGCACGCACACACACGCGCACAGCGTGAGTTTTAAACCACCGGGTCAGGGCCACAAACCGCGGTGGACTACATGGGAGTCCAGTGACATAGCCATTACGCTAGGCCAGCACTGAAAATTTTCCTTTGCACTATTTTTCTTTTGGCTGTAGTGGATGAATGTTGCCAAAATGTGAATCTGGGTATGTTTCATAAATGATGTGGTATGTGAATTTGGCTTCAAAGGGATACTAGAACTTTATAGAGATAATAATAATAATAATAATCCTTCTTTTATATAATGCCCAGATGCTCCTCCACTTGTGATATGGTTACATTTTAGTAAAACATCATAAGTTGAAACTATCTTAAGTAAAAAATGCATTTAATACACCAATGAAATACCATAGCTGGCCTAGTTTACATTCTACATGCTGAGAACACTTACATTACCCTACAGTTGTGGAAAACCATTTAACACAAAAGTTATTTTATAATTAAATGTTAAATAGCTCCTGTAATTTATTGAATACTGCACCAAAAGTAAGTAATTAAACAGTTGTATGGGTACTTGAAATACAGTTTCTACCAAGTGTATATTGCTTTTGTATCATCACAAAATTGAAAATGCCTAAGTAGAATAATCTTTTTAAAAAATAATTATTAAATTTTTTATTTATTATAATTATTTTTAAATTAGCTATAGGGCACATGTGCTCACCAGAGACAGACAGATAGATAGACAAAGAGAAAGTGAGAAAGCAAGCTACCAGATCTGGGACTTGACCTGAGGTAGGCCATGTGGGAGTCAGGAGCCTTAACCACCATGCCACCTGCCGGCCTGTAAGGTGAACCATCTTGTTAGGAATTGTCCATAATCTGATTTATAATTTTTACTAAAATTCT